AGTGTTCCCTCCTTCGGCTTGTGGAGATTACTTACGCCCAAAGCCACAGGCAATAGTAATGATGCTCTCGATTATGAGCAGCCATCGCCAGCCCGGAATACCACGAGCACCGTCCAGGCTGGATATGATGGCACCTGCCATGATACCACCTAGCGCTGGAGATACGCAGCCGGAGGTGTAGAAGATGCAAAAGCGCTTGCCTGGGGGATTATGTCAGCCACATCTCAGATCCCGGAGACTCTGAGGCTAGGTACTCACCCACTTCCTTCTTCGTGTACCAGCAGGTCAGGATGAATAACGCGCCCGGATACAGTCCTGCCTCGATTGCGCCCAGGAAGAAACGTCCAACGAGGAGTCCTGTTGCACTCTTCGTCTGCGACATTCCGAGAACTACGCATCCCCAGACCCATACAATCGTGGCTGAACCGGCAATTATCAGTACTTCCTCATTACCGCTCGGCTGATTAGGTACACGTACACAAATAGATCGACGGTTTCACCTTCATGAGGATCATGTTCGAAGGAACCTCGAAGATAACGTAGGCTACAAAGAAGAGAGATACGAGCATTGCGTATTCTACCCACCGTCAGCTTCTTCACCACCAACAGTGTTGTGTGGTCTGTATTGGCAAACTTACGATTGTCCGATAGGCCAAGCTCCTCACTCATGCCCGCCGCGTTGGCGTTGGCAATGTTGCTCCTGTCGAGATGGGCAAGTATGTACATCCACCAAAGGATCGGGAGCAAGATGAAGTCAATCTTTCGGACCAAGCGTTTTTCTTCTACAGTATCTGGCACATAGCCTTGCAGTGCTGCTATGATTGCCGCGTCTTCGGCCTCTCCATATTTTATGTTTGGAGTTTTCTCATCGCTTGGATCCGAGGCAATTCGTTGTGCCAAATCCAGTGCTTCGCCATCTTTGGAAGCCATGGTCTTCGTTCGTTTAGGCTTGCAGGGGGATGGCAGGGCACTCGAGGAACAAAACAAGAATAGTGAAGCCAGACAACTGACAGAGACAGCAGACTCACAGCATATACATTAGTTCTATTTCGAACGGCTGCAGCCTTCCCGCCATGTATTCTTATGGCAGCCGTTAACAGCTCGATGTTATCGCGATCCTGCTCACGACGTAATCAGACCGCCACTGTTGCGAAATCATGACCCCGCTTTCTATCTATCTCTATCAGCTTAGCAAATCCCAGCAGGATTGTGAGCGGGCGTGTCCCGAAGCAATGCTGGTATGATGCGGAGTCCGCCAAGACAAGGCCCCTACCTGGCCAAGATGCGAGTGGAGCAGCGCTTATCATACCCGACAGTTCGTTCAACTCTGCCCCAATATCACTACGGCATACTGTATTTCCTCATAGCCATCCGAACAATGCGAACTTGACCAACAAGCACGGTCTGCTGTCAGCTCCTACCACCACCCACCCCAAGGCCTCATAAACCACGACGGAAATCCAATACCTCGAGGCACAACACTACCGTCATGTCTAAATCCAGCAAACATGTAGTGTTCGATATTGTCGGCACCTGCGTCTCTTATGATGCCATATTCGACGCTCTGGACCTCTGCTTAGGCGACAAGATGCGTGCCGAAGGCATCAAACCACGACTATTCGGCTACCTCTGGATTGAAGTCACCGAAAGAGAGTACACTTATCTCAGCATGAACGGGCGCTACATCGCATTCCGCGACGTCTTCAGCAGCTTGTTTTACCGCATGCTATACATGTCCGGCATCGAGGAACCCCAGACTTTCGCTAGCGACAAGGTTTTGCAATACATCCTACAGCAGTACATGAAGCTTGAAGCGCGACCTGGTGTTGCGGAGTGCTTCCAACTGCTTCGGGATGCTGGCTTCACGGTGTGGGCGTTGACGGCTGGGGATGTGGAGCGTGTTGGAGGCTACTTCACGCACAATGATATCCATATGCCCAAGGAGAACTTCATCTCATGCGACACGGCCAAGATTGGTAAACCGGATCCAAAAGTATATCAAATGATGATGGAGAAGCTGGGCAGTGATGAGAAATGGTTTGCAGCTGCGCACAACTGGGATGTTGCGGCTGCTAAGATTCACGGGTGAGTAGACACTATCCGTCTACCTACGCAGCTCCATTAACCGGGCAATAGATTCAAGGCCGCATATTGCACGATATGGGAGAAGATTCGTTGCGACAATCTCTTCGGCGAAATGGACGTCACCGCAGATTCCTTTCCTGAGATGGCTCGTGGCATCATAGCTGCGTCTGTTGCCAACTCAAATTAAGCCGTTTGTATTCCGAAACATAGCGATGTCAAGACGTCTCACGCGGTCTAGTCAGCTGCAGAAACTCAGAGTACTGAACAGTCATGCCAAGTCATCGTCGTGCAGAAGGATTGCCCAGAACGCCGCTAAACATCTCCGTATACTTTATGGGATGATATGTGCATGATCTCCTCAGCGAAGCGAGTAATCACCCTTGCTGATCTACGTTTCGGCAAATGTTCTCCGCCGCCGTTATCGAGCACATCCCCCACTCTATCATCGATAAGAATGAATCATGGAGTACAGCTCGCTAAACACCCTGGAAGACTCCAGACGTTGAGATGTTCAGGAAGTGGGGGAACCACCAGCGCGCTTTGCGCCGCGGCCATCTCCGTGCCTCATCATGTGCATACCCGTGTACCGTTGTCGGAAACGCTCTGTTATCTTCTTGTAACCATGTCAGACCGTCGTTTGGGCAAAATATTTGTGGCCTTGGTTTTGATAGGCAGTCTTCTGCGATCCGGTACAAGTACGTTTATGCAGCACACATCGATATCGCAACATGAAGAGCGACCGCACACCGGTAGCAGATCCCGTACACTCATTCTGGACTTCTGTATCCAATCCTCTTGATGACCTACTGAGTACGGATGACCTTTCCACTGAGGCAGACATTGTAATCATCGGTGCGGGATTTGCCGGGGTTGTACGTCTACATCACGAGTTGATTTCCGAACGCATATGTGCTGATTGCAATCTACTAGGCGACAGCTTATAATATTCTCACATCATCCTCGTCGTCCCCGAAGCAATCTGTCCTCATTCTAGATGCTCGCAAGATTTGTTTTGGTGCCACTGGTCGCAATGGCGGGCACGTAAAGCCAGACCTTTACTTCAACGTCTCGAAATATGTATCCATGGATGGTGCGAGCGCTGCAGCGGAAGTTACAAATTTTGAAGCGGCGAATGTGTACGCAGTCAAAGAGCTTGTTGAGGCTGAGAAGTTGGACTGTGACTTACATCTTACGAGAGCGATCGATGTGTATCTGGATGCCGATCATGCCAGGCAGACGGAGGCGGCGTGGGAGATGCTAAGGAGGGATAATATTGTCGAACTAAGAGACGTAGCTTGTGTCTCTAAAGAAGATGCAGAGAGGGTGAGCACGCTTGTCTTTCATAAAGACGTATGAATCGTAAGGCTAATTGTTCTTCCGAAGGTATCGGGAGTCAAGGGCGCTCAGCTGGCTGTCAGCTTTACTGCAGCGCACTTGTGGCCACGAAAGATGGTGCATCAATTGCTAGCGAAGCTACTCGAGCAAGACCATAAGCTCAATGTTCAAGCAAATACACCAGTGACGTCTGTATCCGACACGACGGACGAGGCAGGAAGATGGATAATAGAAACATCGCGCGGCACTATCAAAGCCACAAAGGTCATCCACGCCACCAACGGCTACGCGAGCCAAGTTCTGCCCGAATACACGCGAAGCATAACTCCGATCCGCGGCGTCTGCAGCCATATCGACAGCGCATTGAAGCAACACGCACCACATCTCAACAACACTTACGCCCTTCGTTTCGACGGCCGAAATTACGACTATCTCATTCCCCGAGCAGACGGAAGCATCATCGTTGGAGGCGCAAGGCAGCGGTTCTGGCACAAGCCTGAGCGCTGGTTCGACACCGTGCGCGATGACGAGCTTGTTGATGAAGCAACGACCTACTTCGACGGGTACATGCAGCGCCACTTCCGCGGATGGGAGGATACGCAAGCGCAGACAAAGAAGGTGTGGACTGGAAGCAAGTATCGTAGTCTCCTGCCCATGCGCAACTAACGCATTGAACAGTCATGGGCTATAGTGCAGACTTCATGCCGCACATTAGTCCAGTTCCAAATAAACCAGGACAATTCATCATCGCGGGGTTCAATGGTCACGGAATGCCGCAGATACTGTTGTCGAGTAAGGGTCTGGCTGCTATGGTGCGAGATGGAGTACCTTTCGAGAAGACCGGGCTACCGCGGTTATTCAAGACGGCAAAAGGAAGGGTTGAGATGCGCGATAGCCCACTCGAAGATTCGTTCCGTCCGCTGTGGGAAGAGCATGCCAGGTCGAAGCTATGACGATTGCGTCTCCATGATCGAGACAGTCAACCCAACTTGGCTCAGGGTCTTGCGGCATCTTCTTGTGAGGAATATTAAGTCAGACTCGGAACGATTAAAGTCGAGATGCGTTGTTGCTACGTACGTTTATGGTACGGTGGTGAGCGATGACACTTGGGGATCGGGGCCAGGGCGACAAAGGGGATGACAACAGACGCTAACCCGATTGGGATACCTCGGCATTAGCCACTGCAGAGTGGGGTCGTGCTCAACAGCCACAACTCCTCATCCCCTTTTCCCTCCTAGACGCCTTTAATGATCTCTCTTATCAACATACACGCCGACTGGGTGATGACCTCGCTAATGATGAAGATGCCAACACATCCCTGCCAACATCTGGACCCGAGGGATGCAACGCCCATGTGCCTACTGGACAGCGCTGATTCGCATGGTACAACATGCTGCAGTCAGCATTCACTGTTGCATGTTGCAGACAGCCATGGTCGATAGCGTAATAGCGCGCTATGCTCGTTCTGAACAAACGTTTTGAGTATACAAATACGCGTAGGTCGCCGGCTCATTGTACATAATTGAGTGCGCAACCCTCGCTTTTAGCCTTCCATCCATCCTGTCTTCGGTATCTGCAACATGGCTTCCTTCGAACCGGAGTTTGATCAAGCCTACAATGGTGCGTACTGAACCTTCATATCCATCGTCGATGTGCGTAACTTGCTAACGCGCATCTCAGACCTTGCGTCATCGCTCGATGGCTCCACGGTGCTTAAACAGCATCCAGAGTACAGAGATGCTCTTAAAGTCTTTGCTGTTCCCGAACGCGTCATTCAATTTCGTGTGATCTGGGAGGATGACAGGAACTGCGTGCAAGTCAACCGCGGCTATCGTGTACAATTCAACTCAGCACTGGGGCCGTACAAAGGCGGACTGAGGTTTCATCCGTCCGTCAACCTCTCGGTGCTGAAGTTTCTCTCGCTCGAGCAAACCCTAAAAAATGCTTTGACAGGCTGTAAGTCTTACATCTCCAGTCAGTCAATGTCCAGATCTTTCTGACCATCGCAATAGTGAATCTTGGTGGTGCAAAGGGAGGGTCAGACTTTGACCCCAAAGGCAAATCTGATCACGAGATTCGTCGCTTTTGCGTGTCTTTCATGCGCGAACTGAGCAAGTACATTGGAGCTGATACGGACGTGCCTGCTGGTGATGTTGGCTGTACACGGCGCGAAGTGGGATGGATGTTTGGCGCATTCAAGGCGGCGACTACGAGGTGGGAAGGTTGCATCACAAACAAAGGAGATGCGTTTGGTGGAAGTCTGATGAAGCTTGAGGCAACTGGCTTTGGGCTGGTTCATGTACGTCAAGCACCGAAAAGGCCTGATTTACTCGCTAACAGTACAATCACAGTACGTCTCTTTGATGATCGAATACGCTTCCGATGGCGCTGAGTCTACGCGTGGCAAGAAGGTCGCGATTTCAGGCTCTGGAAATGTCGCACAGTATGCCGCTATCAAAGCCATTGATGCGGGTGCTGTCGTCCCTACTCTGTCCGACAGTAAGGGGACGCTCAAAGCTATCTCTGTGGAAGGCTTCACAAAAGACGACATCGCCCTCATCGCCTCTATCAAGAAGAAACGCCTTCCACTTTCCGACATCATGGCAATGGAGCAGGGTCAAAGGTTCGAGCATCTCGAAGGCGAAAGACCCTGGAAGCATGTGAAGGAAGTCGATATTGCGTTACCCTCCGCCACGCAGAACGAAATGTCCAAAGACGAAGCAGAAGCACTGATATCTGCTGGCTGTCGCTTCATCGCCGAAGGCAGCAACATGGGCTGCGCACAAGACGCTATCCAACTCTTCGAATCGCGCAGGGCAGATAATCCGAACGGACGTGTGTGGTTTGCTCCAGGTACTTTGGCAACACCACTCTAAGTCTCATCAACTCGCTGATCCAATCCATAGGTAAGGGTGCCAACATTGGCGGCTCGGCAGTGTCAGGGCTCGAAATGGTGCAAAACAGCCAGCGCATCGCTTGGCCGGCCGCACAGGTCGAGGCTGAACTGTATCGCATTGTCGAATCATGCTTTCACAGCGGTATTGAAGCCGCCAAAAACTACACGGATATGCGCGCGGAAGACTTACCCAGCCTTTTTGTGGGAAGCAATATTGCCGGGTTTGTCAAGCTGGCGGATGCGATGCATGCCCAAGGAGATTGGTGGTGAGTCAAAGTACAAGGCATTCAAACATGGGTGACTACAACAGTATTACGATATCATATCATTCATTACTAGAACTATGGGCGAAAGGCGCTTGCAATGATTGACAAATCGCGATACTAAGAAACCCAAATCATCACCAGCTCGTAACGCAACGCTCCCTGTCGAACCCACCACGCAACTGCCGATCAGGCTTGACAACTTTTCCTTGCAGAATGGTGTACCGAACGATGTTCTCGCAATCTTCAGGCCGAACTCTCGCCAACCATATACACTGCTTTGCTTCTCTCAGTGGAAGTGATGCAGCGCCATCCGTACTCTCCTTTGCTCCATGAAATGGCAACGGTGTCCGACGATACACAATGACATTTGCGGCAAACTTGTGCCCACCAAAATGACTGACGAAGTGAACACCCACACCCCCGGGTCTCTCGTCAAGCGAGTCGCGATACAAATCTCGTTGCCGGAGATGGCGTTCGAATTCTTTCTTCAGGAGTGGTGCAGATTGACCGCACCGGGCATCGCGGGTCCGGTGACTGCACAGTAAGATGAGGTAGTCGTGTGGGCATGAGCGTATCTTCAGTCCGGATTCTGGCGGCACGCTAAGCGAGTTGAGCGGAAGCAATGACGAGGTATTGCATGGGCTGCGGTTGACGAGGTGTGATATGAGATCTGGTGTCCGGGATGGTGTGACGCAATCAACGATGACGAAAGCTGGGAGAAGGAGGACAGAAGAGATTGGTTCGTCGTCGGGATTCTTGTTGACGCTGTAGTCCGGTACGGGGATGTTGGATGCGGAAAGCATGAACTTCTAGAGGCTCTTGTTAGGCATCATCGCTTTTGATGTGGAGGGGTTTATTTTACCTTCTCGACCATATGTCCATGTGTCTTGGCTATGGCTTCTCCGATGCTGCCTTCCTCACTCATGAAATTGCTGATCCAATTGGCTTTGCCAGTCGCAACGAGGAGATGTCTCTCCCAAGGCATGACAGTACCGTACAAATTCTCGGTCTCATTGATCTTGAACTTCTCCGGGTATGTGATGTCACATGATGAACAGTCCTGAATGCACTCCGGCCCGTCTTTTGCCGGGGTGGTCGGCTCGAACAGTGGTGGTGGGCCACTGGCCACTTTCGGCAAAAGACTTGTCAAAAGACTCTCAATCGGTGCGACCTTTTGCGTGACTGGGGTGATGAGGAGGGGAAGTAAAGACGGCATCGTGGATGATACTTAAGACTCTTTGAAGATACTCAAGCCGTAGGAAGAGATTGATAAGATGCTGTTTCGCTTTCTTATACGTCGTCCAGGAGTGTCATTGAGGGTGACAATCTCATAGCACGGATGCTCTGGTCAATGACATCATAAAAATGCTATTGAGTGAACATTGGCACACACATTAGCATGCAAAGTTCGTTCATCAAGATCGCCGTTACGAAAACCTCGATCCTACTGAAGATGAGCGATGTCCAGGATGTTGCACGTCAAGAATCCCCTCGACGTGACATCATACCAACTACTCAGCGCACTGATATGATGCTTTACCTTCACGGAGATCGCAGGCATCGGCTGCGATCGATGCTAGAGCTGACACTACAAGCTGTGGTGATACGAACCTCCATGCCGCGGTGTACGCATACAAATGCACAAGACCAATAACGGACCGCCTAAACGCACGCTCGGCTGACGGAATTGCAGCCGAAACCGTCGAAGTCTCCATTACGAGATACTCGGCCGTTCATGATGAGCCAAGCTATGCAGGTCGTGATACATGGGTACGTGTAGGGGTCACACCAAGCGATCAGCATGGGTCTGATACATTGAGTGAAAGTTGGAAGCTTACATGTCCTGCAGTCGATCGAACCAGAATCCTCGATGAGCTGCAGGCTAATTGCGAAGTTCGTCATGCGGGGAAACAGATTGTCTTACAGATAGGCGTCAGGGGCGTCAAAAAGACATGGCAGGACATACAGGTTTAGCATGCAATCACCGGTTTCTGTCCGTACCCGGGCGTTCATCCCCACATTCTTCGACCCAAGTTTGAGGCCAGTAGCGTCATAAACTAAAAGTGGTTCTCGTTTTGGAGTATACACAATGGAAACAGTCGGGGTTTACTCGCTGCCCAAGCTGATGTAGCTTTCAAGGTCCAATTTCACCCCACAACTAGTTCTAGATGTATCCCGACATACGTGTTTATTGATGATACGGATTTAATGGCAGAGGGCTTGATAGTGCATGATGTGGTGTGATAAGACAACTTCTTTGACGTAAACACATGTTTATTGGTATGCTACCTTTGCCGTCTACATGCAAAGAAAAGCCAAGGAAAACATGACTTCCTGGTGGGCCGAAGCAATCTTAGCGAGTGAGAGTAAACAAAGAAAGACAAGGAAACGACCCGCTCAGCCACTGAACACTTCTCCGCCTAATGCGCCTTATGATCCGTTGGAATGACACCCGCTCTTGCGTACACTTCATCGTACTTACCCCTGACGAAGTCCTCAATCCTGATGGGCCCAAATTCTGGACCTACGGCGGGGTCGTAGCACGACTTCTTAGCCTCAATCATGTAGTCAGGGTTGCCCTACGAATCGTTAGCGGCTGCCTCACTTCCTGAATCTTGGTAGTTGAACTTACGTGGTACAAGTGCGCAATAGAGTGGCGGTCAGTACCAGAGAAGTTGAGTACCCGATGTACGTTCGAAAGGTACTTGCGGTTGGTCCAGCGTTCGAGCAGATTGCCAAGGTTGACAACAAAGGCGCCTTCCGTAGGCGGCACGTCGATCCAGGACTCAGACGGCGCGTCCCAGACTTCGAGACCGGGGTTGCCGTCTTGCAGGAGGAGAGTGACAAAGCCGAAGTCTTTGTGCTCGCCGTGGCCCTTCTGGCCGATGTCGTCCATCCGGGGTGGCTTCGGGTAATGGTTCATCTTGAAGTAGGTGATGGGCCCTTCAGTGAAGTGCTTGATGAACTCATTGGTCTCTTCGACATTGCCGTCTACCGACATGGAGACAGCTCGCAGCACTTCAACACTGAGGAAGTTGAGTTGCTCAAGGTAGTCCATGCAGACATCCTGGAAACCTTGTCCCAGGCTTTCGGGCCAGTAGTTCGGCCCGTGGGCGAACTTCCCAGCCACAACTTGCGGGTGGTCCCAAGATAGCTCAGGACCAACGTAGTAGCCCTCCTTGAGATCTGGCGCCGTATCTTCTTCCTTGTACTTTTGCGAAAGAAGAGTCTGGTAGCCCCGGTTGTGATCGTTCTGGCGCTGATCTAGCTTTGCCTATCAAGCTGTTAGCACGAATAATAAGATGTCTTAGAACTGCGTTAGCAAAGCATAGCAAGAAGGCTACATACTAGTAATAAGTTAGCAAGATATCTTAAGAGCTACTTGTGGCGGCTACTTTACCCTTCTCCTCTCGTGGAAGTGCGAAGAAGTCGGCAGAAGCCTTCAAAATGGCCTTCTGAGTCTCGAGAGATACCGGGTGGTTGATGATCTGGAAGAACCCATGCTCAACACAGGCCTCATGAAGCTCGCTGAGGCAGAACTTCACACGCTTCTCGTCTCCCGACAAGAAGTCACTGAAGTCGATGGTCTTGATGAGGCCAGGATCAGGCTTGTTTGCCCATGTTTTGATGACGCCCTGAGCTGTTGGCTCAGCCGATGAGGTCAGAACTTGAGTGTTGGCCATGTTGATTGGAGATGTGAATGGAGTGTAGAAGTGGAGATTGAATGAAGTACGTCAAAGCTTGTTTCTGATACACAGATACACCTTATGTTTTCCTATGGATCATTCATGTTATATGAAAGCTCAGACATGACGGTGACGTCAATAGTAAGTCAATACCAGTACAATCTGCGCCAGCGTATTCCAAACCGGATCGTTGCAAGCCGTATGAAGCTCATGTGTCTCACTTCCACGTCATTCTGCACCAGTGAAGCAGTCTCGACGTATGCTAGAGCTAGGCAGTGCGAATTCGGCATGCATGTGTTACCGAAATAAAGGGTGGAAGCGCCTCAATCTCATGCTTCCAATAGCATGTAGGCATGATGAGGCAGTTTGGGTGATGATTGCGCGAGACGCTGATGATGCATGGTATCGACGATCCACAGTATCACCCGGTGCCATGTCAAACCAAAGGAGATGCATACGCGTCGAGTGCTGATGAGGAGTCGATAATCGTGTAACCGATCTGCTCATCATGCTCGATGCCACCGAAAGGCGCTACGTACCTTCTCCCAACCGACGTCCCCATGGGGAACGAATCCATGGATGTACGAAAGATGCATGCGGCAGCCGCACGCTAGATTACTGCGGATACGCCCGACCATGGTTCATCTTCCTGTATGCGAGATCAATTAATTTATGCTAATCCTGGCAAGCACGCCAGCATCACGAGGTGCACGTTGGCCACTGTTTGGTTGACTCGGCGGTTACACCAGATTCTACGGGGCGGCCGAGTCGCTCATGCAGCAGCTATAGTCCTTTGAGATATTTGGTGCAATGCAAGCCAGCCGTAATGCTGACATGCAAGGCCCGGATTCAAGTGCTTATGGCGGTACTAGGTCGACATTTTGGCGTTCCGTCTTCCAAGGTTTCACCACAACCGGTGGGTTCACGTTACACAAGCGTCTCTGGCGTCAAACCTCACGACAAGTGCGGAGAATCTCACCTGCATCGCTATCATCGCTAGATTAGGCCACTACTTTCAATCAGTGGGGAGGTTGATCAGTGATTCCATACTGCGCCATTGAACTCATTTAAACAGGAGTCCATCAGATGTGCTTCTCCATCCATGATCAAGAAGCTTCACCGACTTCAGTCTTCAATCATAACATAATTTTGATCTAACCATCACCCATCATTCACTTCCTCCAACCATGGGTTCAATCGACACATTGGAGTCCTCTGTCACGAGGGCCACCATGTGTAAGAAATGCACCAATGGCAACAAAGTCACTATCGACTTTCCAGATGGGAGCTTCACCTTCCACTCTCAGTGGCTCCGTGA